AGGTGGGAGAACTATGCTTGTTTTCCTTGGGTTTATTTCGGGTTAAACATGGTTTCTTTTAATAGAAAAAATAGCAAAATAAGTCAACTCTTGGGTAATGTTTAGTTCTCGTGTGTAGCTTTTATCTCGCTCTTCTGATATCACCTTTCACTGCCAATCACCCTGTATGCGCATCATAATGTTAGCTTTGATAATTTCAGGCTTTCGTACAATATAATTTTGAGCATTTTTCACCCGCATTGCTGAAATTCAAAATCAATAGCCATAGAGCCCATAGACAATCATTAGGCAACCGCTCCGCAGCCGCTCTATGTACACCTTGCCGCATACACACACTGAGACACACCACAGTCGGTGGGTTCCGTGCAGAGAGACTTGTCGTCGGTTGCATGTGTTTGTGCGAGAGCTGGGGTCTCTCATTTGGCGGGAAATCATGGCTTACGCTCGCAAGGCAAAAACAAAAACCCGAAAATCAGGTAACAACGCTGCGGCTCCGACTGCGGCATCTCAACATCAGTCAGCGTCAACGTTGACGTCGCTGTCTGCGTCGGCGTTGAGCGCGTCGGCTCTACAGGTAAGCGGGGCCGCACAGGTAAGCGATCGGATCATCGTCGTGGGCCACACCAACGCAAAACGCGGCTCACACACAAACACACACACACACACACACATACAATACATGTGCCGGGGCCTGGAGACAGGTCTTATATACATAGGCGGCATCGGTCTGCGTCTGCGTCGCTGCCGGCTATCCGCTGCTGCCCGCTGCCTGCGTCGTACGTCTCAAGAAGCTGATCTGGAGCTCGTTTGTCGCATTTTTACCAAAACTGAATTTAGTTTAGAAGCGTTTGGCGGCGTTGAAGGTGTGTGCAATGGTAATAGCAATCCGGTGCCGAAGCCGAAACCAAAGCCAAATCACAATACTTTGGGCATCTCCGGCGACACAGAGAGCAAAAAAGAGAGATGTATACTATACAATATGCAGATAGATATAGAAAGAGAGAGAGAGAGAGATTTACTTACTCTGACTTAGGGTCTGTCTGTGTCAAACGCATTTTCTCGAGCAAGTGTTTCGCAGTTCAAGTGTTCAATTTCAATTCAGTTCGGATCGGATCGGATCGGAATCACGTGTGCAATCATATATGGCTTATATCATTCGTATATATCATATATTGTATAAATCAATTGTAAATCCAAATTTCTGCGGCAGCTGCTACACAACCAACGAACCCACCAACCAACCAAACTCTCGAGGTATGTCATTTACATTCGCAGCTGTACGGCGTGGGGCACACACAGTTAAATCCAGATATATGTATCTACATTGTAGAAGGTATGTATATTATTAACACTAAATCGTGAGCAAATTCTTTATACATCCGGCTCTATAAGAGAGACACACGCTTCCAGAATTTTCAATATCGTTATCGTCATCGCCACCAGGCCAGCCCAGGCCAGGCCAGACCAGAGACCAGCCGAGACCCCTCCTCATCTCATATGCACAGACAACTCTTGATTTTTTGTCTGCCTTTTGCCGCTCCGCCTCCACCTATGCCTCCGCCTCCATCTTCGTGTTTGGTTTGACGTGGAAACGTGTTTTGGGGCATATATAAATCGATTTGGTAATCAGTTTCCTATATATCTGCCAGCGTGTACATGTATTTCCAGATTGATCTAGACATAGGCCTACGAATTCGGCTCTTTTTTATTTTATTTTTTTTATGGGCTTAATCAGTATCGGCGCGGCGGCATCTCCTTCAACGCATTTGAATATGCTGATTTGTTCTTGGAACTTATTGCCTTTAACTTGCGGTCACCGGCCAGGCCTTAGCTCACGCTGAGAATCTCTATATATGGTATGGACATTATGTTGATTCTGTAATTTGCGTCATCGGCTTCAGGGTGAGAGAGAGAGAGAACTACTGTTGCTAGGCCAAGGCAGGGGCAGTAGATTGGGTGATTGTGTTTCTAGTAAGTGCGAGAAATATTGTTGGAGAGAGGCACATACTAGACAAGGAGCGGCTAATAAGCAATTAGGGAAAACCCAGTGATAAATCTACACATGCTTGGGTTTTCTTTTTAAAAACTACAATCAGTATCATTTGAGAGAGAGAGTATTCCAAAGGTCTTGTGATGTTTCTTAAATCCAGGGCTCCAGTTTTGCCATGGAAAATGTAAGCACTAAAAGAAAAACTTAACTCAAACCTAAGTCAACTATTACCAATCTCGCTTGAGGCATTGTGTAAGGCCGTTTTCGAGAACCCTTCATTAAGCCAGTGAGCTCTCAACTGGATCCAGGCTGCACCTCAACCTGCGGCCCACAGTCAAGCCTCGAATGTTTTCCATTTCAACAGTCTGCACTTACAGACTTGACTTGAATAATACCCAATGAAATCTGCCTATGGCCTCAGACTGAGACTTTGGCTACTGTCGACAGACAGACATACTTGCACATACTCTTAAAAGTATCTATGAATGTGTGTAGTTTATTGTGGATAGCTACATATATCCATTGCACAATTTGAGCAAGCGGCAAGCGAAAGACGGCGTACAAAATAGTAAAGTGAAGTAAGACATTCAGAAAATTCGCCTCAACATTTCTGCTGCTGCTGCCGTTTGCTGCTTTTCAACATTTTCCGCCGCTTTATGTTTCAACGATTATTACAATGAGTGTTTGAGTGCTTGTGCTTGAGTGTGTGTGGAGTTGTAGAGTTGTGGAGTCGAGCGAGGCGCATAATTGTGGGAACTTACGTTACGGAACGATCGTCTAGCAGGCAGTAGACATGGCCAAAGACAGAGACATGGCATAGCTAAGGCCAAGACAGACAGCCAGCCATTCACTTGGCCCGGCCCGGCCCGTCCCGGCCAAACCCAAACCCCGGCGCTATAATGCCAATGCAGTCGAGAGTCCACCAACCAGCCAGCCAGCCAACCAACCACCCAGTTCAGTTCTGTTCGGTTAGTTTTAGCGCTGTTCATTTCAGTTCAGTGTTCTGTCGTCGTTTGTCGTTCCAGTTACAGTCACTTGACCAACCGAAACATTAAGAATACGAAAAAGAGTAAGACGCTGAGGTGGTGGCAGTGGCAGTGGTATCCCCGGCCACCTCCACTCTTCGCCAGTTTCGTTTTGGTGGGCATAATTGTTGATCGTCGTAGCGTGCATATTTATGGGAATATTTCTCCCAAGCATAAGGAAAATCATTGCATTGCGCGCCCCTTCTTCGATATCGCTCTCCCATGAATCCCACGACGTCTTCAAAGTTCTGGACGAACGCGCGCTCGTCCAACTTTGACCTTTTTCCAACGCCAATGGCTAGCGCCCCTCTCTGGCCTAAGCGCTGCTCCGTTTTGTCTATGCAAAATGCATACAAATTCCACGTAGCATTTCACAATGCAGTCACTACGCCTGCGCAAAAAGATATACGACCAAAAGCCGACAATGCCGACAGTCAGACGTCTGTCTGTGAATGTCGGTGTGTGTGGGCGCAAGTAACGATAAATCGAGTGAATGTCCATGGCGCACAACAAATATTTCCAATGAAAAGAGTGTGAAAAAATAAACCAACTAATTAAAAGTCCAAAAATAAAGCGAAATACAAAAGAAATAAATGGAAGTGTGTAATAAATTAAATGAATATAAAATATGTAAAAGATGGAGATAATTTCCCATTGATAAAAATTAGTGTTACTAGTTCTTCATTCAGGGTGCTATGTTGTCTTTGGTTATCTAGCTGTATGAGTGATAAATAACGTCATAAAGCTAGCTTACCGAAGTTAATATTAGTGTCTGTTCAGCGAAACTGAAGAAATACAAAATTGCTCAACATTCCTAGACCTAGTCCAGACAGTCGGTCCGGTCCAGTCCGGTCCGGCTGTCGTGTGAAAGACCAACTACCAACATAAACAACACATCTTTACCTACACATGTTTATTATATTTTGCAGTTTTTGCTTTATGACCAAGTGCTTTTGAGCGTAAGTTTTAGTATTTAAGCGTTTGTTTTCTTCTCAGCATTTTGCCTTGATTTATGGCCACCACACGACCTTTACTTTTGTGAGCTTGACTTGAAGTCTGTTTTTTTAGCCAACATTCAAACAGAAATAAATGGAGATGGAGAGACAGCAGCAACAGAGAAGAAGAAGGTGGAGGTGACACCACAATGACGTTGCTAATGAGCAGCTGATGGTGGAGCTGATTCATTGAAATCGATAGGGAGGCTGGCCACGCTGCGGGTAAAAAATATGTAATGGAAATGTGGCAACAAGAAATACCAACTTAATGAGTGCGTCAATTAAATGTAGGAAATCCACAATTCGATTAGTCAAGCATGCCGAGAGCATATGGATAATTGATCTTGTGTGAAACTAAAATGCCATAAGAGCTTGCAAGTGGGAGATACTTTGAAAAGTCGTTGATTAAACGATACTTAGAGACTCACAATATAGTAATTAATATATTGAAATAAAGTATGAAATGAAGTATTTGTTTTACAAATATACAATACATATTTAATCACAGTTTAATCATTTTGCATACTCAACAGATCTGTGTAACACAGCAGACACCTGGAAAAGATGAAGGTTCCTCCCCTCTGCGAAGATCTCCACTCACTTTCGATGCCAAGTTGAAGTTCAAAGCGTTCGACACATGGCTCAGACTCGAACTCATACTCGTACTCGTATGACTAACAACGGCTATGCAAATTAGTTTGGGCCATATGCCCGGTTATCGCAGCCGCCACTCGCCGCACCGCCGCCACATCTGTTCGGCTCGACTTGGGGGACAGCGCCAGCGCCAGGCCGCAAATTACCGTCCCGGCCGACTCACACGATCCGTATATAGTAGAATGAAACGACCTGGCCCCGGCACAGACAACAGACATCGGCGAAACCTTCACGTAGACCTATACACACACATTCTTGGGAGTGCAAGTCGTAGACTCTTTAGTTAGTATAGACTGACGATGATCTCTCTAGGTTAGTTTTTGTGTTTGTTTTTTCTTTATATAGCCCATGATGTATGGTGGGAATTTCCGTTACTTTTTCCATTCGATTGGCTGCTGTCGTCTCCGATTGTCGTCGGCTCTAGGCGTTGTCTCCGAGAGCGAACAAAATATGATATTTATATAGGATTGTGTATGTGTGTGGCTGGGAGAGTCAGAGGGGGTAAAGTATAGTACGAGTATATAGTCGAGAGGGTTCGCTTTGTTTGGTGGAAGTAAACAGATTTCTTTATTTATTTTATTATTAATTTTTAGCTTTTCCATTCTCGGAGACCCGTGGCAGAATATTTGTTCTTGTTGTTTTTCTTTTTCGAATTACATATCACTAAAAATCCAAACAGAAAAGAAATGATTTCTTCCTATTGATTTCCACTCCGATTTCCGTTTACTTAATAGATTGGTTTGGTTTTTCTTTTAGAATATCGCTACAAGAGTTGGTTTTAGTAACCAAATGTTTGTGTGTGTTCTTGTTAGTTTTCGACTAATCGTAATCGTCGTTTTCTTGTGTGTGTTGTTTCTGCACAATTTCGTTATTTCGCTAAACAAAAGTTCGTTTTTCTTTTGGATTTTTTTAAAAAAGTTTCCTTTTTGCACATTTTTTGTTTGTGTTAAGAAATTAGCAGGCAACTTAGAGAATTTGAACAAAATTAGTCAACGCCATCGTCATAATCTTCATAATTAGAGTAATCATAATAAATTTATCATACATATACATACAAGCTCCATATTTATGTTGTTTTCGTTTTTTGTTTTGTTTTTGTAAGTTGTTTACTTGAACTAATTTTAAATGTTTGATTTGTAATTTAGAATTAATTAATATACTTTGAGTTTCTGTTAGAATTTGCTAAGAGTTCTTTTTAGTTAGTTAATGCTCCAATTCTTTAAAGCCTGTCCTACACACACACACGTACATATACATTTAAATAGGGTTTCTCCTTTTGCTAACTTAGTTCTTGGAAGAAAGTTCATTATTCATTGTGTAATTTCAATAAATTTTGATTAGTTCACTTATGACATTACCATGAGGAGAGAGAGATGAAAAACTGAAACCTTTTTGCTATATACCAGTACCATAGATGGGATAAAAATTACACGAAACGGAAGAGCATTTCAGTTGGAGGTTAAAGTTTTGCTGATGAGAAACCATAGAGGGGGTAGCGGATAGCCGATGAAGTTCATACCTACAAAACTACGGACCATTTAAAAAATACACGAATTTGTAATAATAATATTTATATAATTTGCTCCTTTTCCTACATTCCTTTGTTCTTTCGTTTTCCTATTCCTCATCTCTATGTATTTATTTTATTCGTTTCCTTTGCTACACAAATCATTGGCTGTTAAAATCTGTTTATTGTGTTATTTTTTGTCTTTTTTTTCTGTTTATTGGACCCCATGCAATTTGCTTGAGGAACTCCTCCCCCACGCTGGACTTTCAGTGGTATTTGATCTCCTATTTGTATCCAATCCCTTGGGTAATTTAGTACTTTCTTCGATATATTTATTGCACTTCTATGCTATTATTTATGTTCACTTTATTAAAACATACACAAGGTAAATTCCTCTAAAATGCTTCGGTTTCTGTTGTTTCTGTTTTTTGTTTTTTTGCTGTTTGTCTTGTCACCTATATAAAGTAAATAGTGTTGCATATATTATTATTTGCATTATTATAATTATTATTACTCGGTTTATCTAATTTATTAACGGGTCCTCGCTAATCAAATCCGACTGCGCCGCCTTCAGAAACTGGGTTCGGTCGGCACTTTTATTTTATTTGTTACTTGTTTATTTACTATTTGTTATTTGGTTTTTAATGTGCTTTTTTACATTTTACACATTGAGAGATGTTTGCGCTTCAATCCGCAAATGTTTATCGTTAATTAAATATCTTTTCTGTTCGTCATAAACTCGAAAATCAGATTTTAGAGATTACACTTGTGTTTCGATTTTAGTTTTTGGGTTTTTTTGGGGGTTTTTTGTTTGGCGACTACATACACACACACGTAAGGGAGACAATGTCTACAAACGAATTCAATTTCAATTTAGTTTAAAAACTTTTCAAGTTGTACTAAACATAAATCAACTTGATCTTGTTTTGAATTTTGATGTGAATGCGAATGCGATTGGGGGACTGCGACAGATGCTGATTCTTATGCTGATGCTGTAGATTGGCCGTGTGCTGGCTCAGAACGAGGCCTCCACCAGGTAGGTGCCATCCATGGGCTGATTGTTTTGGCTGTTTTGAGCATTGCTGGCAGCTGGCATATACTTGCCGCAAGCCTAAACACGAACGAGAACAAAGCGAAAATGCATTAGGGCTTCAACATTTGCAAAGGCACAATATTAATGATTAATGTGATGGCTGCAGAGTAACTAATCAAGAGTATGACTATGGCTAAGATACGAAGCGTATGCCCAAAAGTAGACTTCACTCTGTGGCAGTGTTTTAACCGCGAGTCGGTGTCTTTTAGGCTGCACGCAAAAATAATTTGTGTTGGTGTGTTTGGTGTTTAGTGTTGTGGGGTAGAATACACACAAATTCATACACAATTATAGCAAAATTCAACACACAAACTATACGTAAAAATAAGTAGTTATTTTGTTTACAGAGGGAGTTACAGAAAGCGGTTGTGAGAGACCCACCTGCAAATGCACTTAACCCTCAGCTGCTGAGGTGTCAAGCCAAGTTGGGGGGATCATATTGGGGTGGGGAGAATAGATATGTACAATAGTGCTTACCTGATAGCGCTGGGAGCAACAACGACCGCAGCAGGACTGCAGCAGGCCGGCAGCACTGTGCGTCGAGTGGGCGGGACTGGCCATGGGCGAGGGCGAGCCCGGCCGCTTCGGCTGTCCGTTATAGGGTAAATCTAACTCGACAAATTCTCGATCCTTTAGTGGTTTTTTGGTCAGAGTTATTTGAGCATTTGAGAGGTGTGTACAGCCAGAGAAGAATTTTACAAAGAGAAACGAAGAATACATAGAGTACAATATCTTTTTTGGTTTTACGTTTTCTGTTTTGTTCTTTTGTTCAGAGGTTTCTTTTTTTGCTCAACAATTTTACAATAAAGTAAGGATACATGGGGTTGGCGGATAGGTGGGGTTGGAGGGGCTTACACACACGCACATAGAACACAGGACAGGGTTAAATACATACAAAGAAATATATAAATACTTAGAGTGAGAGTTTTCAAGTCTCTTTCAAGTCAGAAACAACAATTAGAACATTAAGCGGGGCTTGTGGGTTTATGGGTTAAGGGGAGGGGGACTGAGGAGTAGAAAGGGTATCAAACATTTAAACGCTTTAAATTCTAGAATGGTAACAGAAATTATGGTTTTTTTTTCTTTGGTTTCCTAAGCAATGACAATTTTACAAGAACACAATAAACACTTTAAGACAGCCAAACGTTAGTGGGCACTGGGCAGGGCTGCGGGGGGGTGGGCAGAGCAATAAATGAGAATCAGGGCAAGGGCAGAGCCGAGCGGGACGAGGTAGAAGCAAGCGCCAGCAATTTTTCATTCATTTTTCAATTTTTTGCTAGCTGTTAAAAACGCGTTCGGGGCTAAGTGCGATTTTACGTTCAATTTTTCAGATTTCATTTGCAAGCTGTTAAAAACGCGTTTGCCCAAAAACGATTTAGATTTATGGCGGGTACTGTTTTATATTTATTTGTGGTTTTAGGTGGGCATTTTGAGTGCTCATCAAGTGGTTTACGGCTAGACTTGGCTACTGCTGTTGAGGATATGAAAAAGGCTATGATTTGAATAGGAATAAACCGAGTTTTGGAAATTTAAAATTATAAAAGAAAATATAAAATAAGTTTGCTTTCCTTTCTGAATATTTATGTACACTTCCTGGACTACTTTTGAAGATTTTTCTATTCTTTTAAAAACAAACACAAATTTTTAACACAATTAGAGCACATTTAAAAAAAGTTTCGATGAGAAATTGTGCTCTAATCAAATGTATAAAAATAAATGGAATAGTTAAATGGACTTTTTACGACTATGAACACTTAAGTGGATTTCCATTTTTCCCACTTGATGAGCCAGCTCTCAGCAAGCCGATTTGTTTATACATATTTTGGGGATGAGCGCTAAGTTTTTAGTTTTCGTTTTGGGCTTAATGTTGACAGCAATCGATAGCATATGGCCAAATGGTCGTTTCCGAATGTTGCTTGGGAAGTGGGGGGCGGGTTCGATGCTATTCGGTAATGACCTATTCAAAGAACTTAAAACAGAACAGAGCGCATAGCATTCAGCACACAAATCGTTTGCTTTCAACAGAAGGAATCGAAAAACAACATATGTAGATACAACCAAAAAAGATACGAAAAATAAGAATTGAAAATCATAAAAATTAATTGCAACGCATAAACGAGAAATAGAGATAGAGAGAGAGCAATAGATACAGATACAGAGATTGGGATAGAGTTAAAGATGGAGAAAAATGAAGGAAGAAACAACGGAACTTGGGTACAAACCGAAAGCACTTACTTTTCAGCATTTATATTCGTTTATCAAAGGTATAGACATTGATTTTGAATTGGCTTTTTATTATTGCTATGCATTATATTTGGTTGAGTCTGCTCTTGAAACGCTTGTGCGAAAAACATGACACAAATGGAAAACTTAGAACATATATAATAATTATAATGATAACAATTCGTAAACAAAAAGTACGCGGATCTCATACTAAAGATTGGCATTTCAGTTCAGTTCTCTCTCTAGGGGATTTCTTTTCATAAATGGGTATTCGCGCGATTTCTGAATCCCAATCCCAATCCCACATCCTTGACAGCCTCAAGACTGCACTGGAGGCTCTGGTTGTTCTTGCTGGGTTGTTGTTGTTTAGGTTGTTCTGGTTGTTGTGTGTGTGGCTTGTCATTGCTTGAGGCAAAGTGTATAATTTTGGACTATTACATGGATGTTCGAATGTGGCTACATCTGTCGCGGGCAAAGTCCAAAGAAATAAACCGAAAAATGTACAGAGAAAGTTTTTGTGATGATTAAATTAAAATCAAATGATAAGAGCAATTAATAAATGCGCGATAGAACCATAAATATATTTATATAGAGAGAGATATACATAGAGAGAGATGTAGAAAGAGCCAGAGAGAAAGCCTTGGGGATGCCACATCGACTATACGCACCGTTGTCTTCTCCAGACATCGCAGCAAATGATGGTGCTGAAGCTCAAAGATATCCTCATCCCTGTAGTTGTCATCCAGCTCAATGCCCGACTCCTGGGCCGCCCATCTGGCCTCGGCGGCCTTCTTCTTGTTAACAAAGGCAGCACCGGACGAGGCCTTGGCAATGCGGATGCGCGCCAAGCGAGCTTTCTGCAAGAACAATCAGTCATGAGAGTTGCCTGAAGGAGGAGAATCCTGCTGGATGATCTTACCCGCTGAGCCTTGCGCTTGTCCGAGCGCTGATTCTGGTGATAGATTCTACTAAAGTTCGATACGATAACAGGTACAGGTAAGGCGATGACCAGCACACCGCTAAGCGAGCACACGCCGCCCACTATTTTGCCAGCTATTGTCTCCGGCACCATGTCACCATAGCTGTGAGAGAAAAAATATTAGTTTCAGGTGCAGAGGGTGTAGAGCGAGATTTGTATTTACCCCAGCGTCGTCATGGTGACAATGGTGTACCAGAAGGCAGCCGGAATCGATGTGAAGTTTGTGCCATTCACATTCTTCTCGGCATAGAACATGACGGTGGCAAATATGATGATAGCCATGGCTAGCGAGAATACGAGGAAGCCCAGCTCGCTGGCGCACGACTTGAGCGTGTAGCCGAGGATCCGGAGACCCTGCGAGTGGCGGGAGAACTTGAAGATGCGGAAGACGCGGAAGACTCGCAGGGTGACAAAGGCACCACTGACGTCGTCGTTGTCGGTGATGCCCAGACCGATGTAGTAGGGCAGGATGGCCACCACATCGATGATGCTCATCACGGAGCGCACGAACTTGCAGCGATCGGGTGCTGCAAAGAGGCGCAGCAGATACTCGGCGCTGAAGATCATCACGCAGGCTGTGTCCAGGCAGAAGAAGACGATCTTGTAGCGCTCGCCGCACGGCAGCGTGCCGGCTCGGCCCGGTCTGTGTCCGCACGGCACCGTCTCCACCACATTGGCCATCACAGAGACGGCGATGAAGAAGCCGGTGACGTAGTAGAAGACCAGGGCGCTGGTCGACGTGTGCGGGTTCTCGAAGGCACGCCACATCTTCTGCCGTATGTTGGTCAGCTGTTGCAGGTTCTGATCCCCATTCTCCGACAGTTTGTCGTCCATGAGGCGCTCGGCATTCTCTCGCTTCCGATCCCGATAGTCCTCGTAGCAGCAGTCACCAATCACGTCCGGCATGATCCCGAAAAAGGCCAGCTCCTCGTCGTAGCTAGTGAGGCATTCGTGTTTGGGGTAATGCAGCTTGCCCGTCCGATAGTAGTTGAGTATGTGGCGGAATATGTCCGGATCCCGGTCGAAGAAGTACTCTTTGCAGTCCTCGTCGTAGAAGAACTCCCGCTCATTGGAGCCGAGCAGCGTGTCCGGGTACTTCTCGAGGGTGTTGCGCCAGGTCTCGAAGCGTCGGCCGGATACATTGATCAGCAGCTTCTCGTCGTCCGTCTTGCGTCGGTCCTTGGGCACGGGGGGCGGTGGCAGTGGTAGGGAGGCTATCGGCACCCAACCGATGGCCGCCGCCCGTGCAAAGGGAAGCCAAGCGGCGACCGAAGCCATGCTATTGGGTGGAATGTTTCAGTGTCCCGGTTGTCGTTCAAAAGTGGGTGGCTCTCGTGGGCTGTCTCTCTCTCTATGTCTTCCTTTTCTTTTCCTTTTCCTTTTCCTTTGCACTTTGCTCTTTATCGTCCTGTAGTGTTATCCTTTTTCAGGGTTATCTCCTATGTTGTTTTGGCAGTTGAGTTTTGTGCGGATGGTGGCGTGGGGAGCTTGCAGAGCGGTAGGACGTCACTCTATCTCGTTCTCTCTCTCTCTCTCTCTCTCTCTCTTCCTCTTTCTATATATGATTAACTTCTAAATTAAAGCTTTTATTCTGTTGTCCAGCTCGTCGTCGGCCTCGGTTTCGGCCTCTCCTTTGCTCTTGGTTCTGCTTTTGCTTTTGCTCTTCTTCTTGCTTATCCTTGAGGTCTGCTTATTGTGTGATGCGTGCATTTTTGAACTGCTTGCCAAGCAGTGTTTTATTGCTTAAACTTATTGCTGTCATTTTTGCTCTTATTGTTGTTGTAGTTCCGTCACTGCCGTCGCTCTGCTGTTTGCTGCTGCTGCTGCTGCTGATGCTGATTCTGGCTCTTCTTGTTTTATTGTTCGCCGCAGGGATATGAAATGTTTCCTATGTGTGTACTCTATCTAAGTTTCGTTGTGCAGCAGCACTGCAAAAGAGAAAGAGAAACAGACAGAAAGAGAGAGAGGGAGAAAGATACAGAGAGAGTTGAGTTGAAAAGTTTTGCGGGAGTTTGAAAACAAGTTGTCACTAGGGAGAGCAGTGGGAGGAGAGTTTTATAGTTCAGCGAAAAGTTTCCAGTTGGCACGCAGAAACACACACACACACACACACACCGGACACCCACATATAAATGTAATTACAGTTAAAAGTTTGTCTGCCATTTCATAGTGTGACCTTATTTTAAACACAAGTTTGTGTTTTTTTTTTTTTGTAAATATTAATTAGGAAAACAAAAGCAGACAAAAAGAAAACATTTATTAAAAATACTTAAAATGTTTCGTATTTTTAGTATGCAATTTTAAAATATTTATAGTATCTCGGAGTAATTTATAGTATTTATAGTAATTCGGAAATTAAAACATTCTTTTCCCAGTCCCAGCCCAACCTGCACACTTAATTCAATTTAGTTTGTTTACTATTCAAACATTTAACTAAAGCCTCTTCTTGATTTCTTCTTAAACAATAGACAATTTATACTTAAATTACTATTGAATTCGTGGAAGCATTAGAAAATCATTCTAATGGGTTCAGTGGGTTGTGCATTGAGAATAAAATACACTCACATTTAATTTAATTTCAAGAAACTGTTTGTAATTCACTTCAATCGGATTTTAAAGTTTATGGGGAATCCCAGGCAATAGAATTTCGGACTTTCTCAAAGCATAAATATTATCATAAATCTGCGGGAACAAAACAATAGTAATACAGACAGACACAGACCCACACAAGCACCCCACGACCCACGAGTGGGTCGTCTATTTCTCGCTTCACTTGTTTATATTATCAATTTATCCCCCTCATGGTAACCCACTCTTCCCACTCCCCCACTGGACATATGTATATAATGATTCACAGCAACAGAAATCGACAGACAACGCCATTCAATGCGTTTTTCGGGCAACGTTCTGTCTAAATATTTAAACGAGGAAAACACAATCGAACGGGGGGAACGGAATCGTAGCGAAGGGTTCTGTTTCTGTTGCTGGTTTTGCTTTAGAAGTCCAACAGCTGAGACCATTTTAATGGGTCGAACATACCGACAGAATGACCATTCGACTGTCTCCCCATCTGCCTAGGTCCGGCTGGCTCTGGTGTGGGTTCTGTTTCTGGTTGGGAATGGCCCGCCAATGAGTGGATGGTTGGTATGGGATGCGTGGGTGGTTTTGTTGGCGTGCTCTGCCAGGCGCAAGAATCACAAATTTATGTGCATTTCTCTAGACAGTAAACACCCTGCAAATTTCCTTTAGGCCACAAGTCATTTTGCCAACGACAATTAAAACGCAAAAACTTTTTCCTTCTTCTGTGTGTTTGCTCCTCCCTCATCTCATCTCATCGGCCTACCCAGCTGGGGTGGAGCTGTGACAAAAAGTCATTTGTTTCCATAAATGTCAGGGCATGCCATGGCTCTTGAAGTCTATATAATGTGTGTCTTTGATTTATATAATATTTATGGCTCTAGCACTGGCACTGCCAAGATGCTTTCTTCACTGGACAAGTGCACATTGAACTGAGCTTCATCCACTCGTGGGTAGTGGAAGGACTTATCTATGTATAGATATCTCCGAATGTTTTCATATTCATGGCCGGCTGTCACATCCCTGACATTGGCTTGGCCACTTCCCTGAAAGGGGTTCAACGGGAGCCTAGAGCAGGAGCAGATATTTGCCATAACAATAGCCATTAGGAGTTATTAGTTATTTGATGGCAGACCGCTGAGACACGCCACGGCCACAAAGAAAGCGGATAAGGTTGGACAAGGTTATGTCTCAGCTAAGCTGAATTTATGGGCATGGGTTTTATATTCTTTTGGTCTACTTTACATGCGAAATGCATATTAACGCTTTTTATTCGATTGATGACTGTCAGCGCTTGTTTGTCTTTGGAAGAGTTTATATTTATTTGGTAATTAGATACTTCAAGAAGAGTTATATCTACTCGCCTAATGAATCCATTCGTGTCACTTAATTCAGTTCAATGCATGCACTTTTGTATTGCAATTGATTTTTCAACATTTCAAATCATAGTGTCAAGCATAGTGTCAAGCATTTGCCACTTGCATTATTGCCGTCAAAGCAATTTTACCTTGATAATAATTGTGGGAAAATCTATGGACATTCGTGCACATGTATGAGTACTCGTAGAACCATCCTTCAACGCTTTTGGCGTACATTAAGCGATGAAGAGTCAAACAAACTGACAGTTTCCAACCCACACCACTCAGCAAACGTGCTGATGCCACCCCAGAAAGCCCACTGAAACCACTCCAACACTCTCCACCCACACAGTGTACACTATCGGATGCCAGAGAATGGCAGACAATGGGGCCATGGATTCGCTCCCAGAGGTCCGTCGTGTCAGGCCTTAATGTTTTAATGCCACATTATCCTATCAACGATTTTCCACTATGGATTGACGTTCGTCGTAGTCGTTGACCTTGCCTTGCTTTTTCGCCGTGGACGAAATGGAAATTAATCAATGCCGTTTGCTATGCCCCTGTCCCCTATCCTCTTTCCCCTGTTGCCTATCCTCTTTGCTGACATTGAGGTTGATGTCTGGATGTCGTTAGGTTATACAAGGACCAGGATCCATTCACGTATTCTGTGCGTGTTGTGTGCCATCAAAATAAATTGTCAAACATCAAATGGGTGCAGTGGCGGGAGGTGGAGCACCAGCAGAAGCCCTCCAGCAGCCCCAGCAGCGGAGAGTGAGAGGCAACACCTTGGGACTGTTGGCAGTAGGCAGTAGGCAGCAGGCAGCAGGGTCTCCGGGGCTCAGGGATCAGGGGCTGCCGTTGACTTCCGCTGGACTCAAAACAAAGGCGCCACATGTCCTTATTATATTTCTTTTTTCGTCTTTCTGTAGGCTTTCATTAATTATTTGCATAGTTTATTTTAGTTTACGAGCAGGGCAGGGCAGGGCAGGGCATCGCTGAGCATAGAGGGGCAGGGGTGCCTAATTATTCGCCAGTTAGTTGGCTGTTGCCTTTTGGGAACAGCCCCCCTCCGTCACCGTCTCTTTCTCAAGGTTACATTTTGTTGTTTGTAGCTTTCTACGAGAGTGGGCGCCCCAACAATGGCCGTGCATCTCTCATCTCTCATCATAATGATTCGCATTCATCTGTCCATCCATCCACACTGTGCTCCCATCAACCAACTTTGTAGATCATTCCGAGTGGGTGGATTTGGACTTGGTCTTGGCTCTTGCGACGGGCATAATAAACATTTCAATCAACTGAATTTACCGCACCTCAAAATTGATCTTGAAGGTGAATAGAATGAACTTTTTTGTGGTTCATTATTGCGTATAGGAAATATACAGAAAACGATTGAATTGCCTGAATTGAACTTAATAAAAGTTCATTTATGATATAGTATTTTTTGTGGATGAAGGAAGGCCACACAAATATTTCGTAGAATATTTTTTGTTGCTCTAAGATGGCCGGAAGTTTACAATAGTCTTTTTTTGTTGAGCGATTTTTCTTAAAATATTTTTTAAATTTTATTTCCCAAGGGAAATTCCAATTGATGTCATAACTCTCATTAAATTTTGCACTCACATTTCCATAGCATACTTATCCGAACTGAATAAACACCATAAATATATAAAATATTCCAACGAATTCATTGCCATAATTATCATCTGTCTGTGCCTTTCAGGGCATATCAACTTCCATGCCTTCTCATTAGAATATTTTCCCTCCAATGCCACTTCCTCCTCTTCATCTCGGTTTGCTTTCACTTTTCCCTCTGCTGTGTTTATTGTTGTTGTTGTTTATTACACAGAAGCAGCCCCCAACCTCCCCTCGGGACAATTCCATTCAATTCGGGTGGGCCCCAAAATGCTAGTTAGGCATTAATGTACGAAATACACGAAAAATCTACGGAAATCCTGTGAAATTTTCTCCTGCTCTTGCGTGGGTTTCAATTATTATGATGACTTAACTTTCCTCTCTTTCGCTCTTTTTCTAGCAAAACGGAAGCTATTCCAAGGTACTACAACTATTACTACTACTACTATATGGGTGAAGGCAGTGCCAGTTAACAGCCAATTGCAACTTTGAGGCCAAATACTAAATTGGGAAGCATTTCCAGATCATAAACGCAACTTTATAGCCTGTGGTGGGGTATGGTGGGCATTTCCATTTTGTATTTTTATTGCCAATAAGTTAACAATGTTTACTTTTAGTTGTTCGTTTTCTATTTTTAAACAATCACAACAGAATCTCCCCTGCTCGCCACTCCATCCCAACCCTCCCATATCGTCAGTTCAACATTTTACGTACATTTTCCTTTCTTTTCTTTTGTTTACAAGCCATATTTTTCTTTCCTTTTTTTGTTGTATTCTGTGGGTTAAAGAAAAATGAGAAATGTATGCGGGTATGTTTGTGTTCAAATGGGCAGCAAAGAAAGAGAAATAGCGGGAGAGAGAACACCGAGACCAAGTGTGGGTGAGAAAGAAAGAGTGAGAAAGGGAGAGCGAGCGAGAAACTTTTTGTGTCTCTGCGCCTGCTCATGGGACCCTGGGCACCCGCTGCCACTTGGGTTTAGGTTTTGGGGGACCTTAAGATTCAGATTGGGATTGGTTCGGGTCGAGTCTACGAGTGCTACGTTGTCTCGGCTCAACATCAAACATTTTGCCTTATGAGCAGTTTATAATTTTGCTTGCCTTTTGCCTTTTTTCTTTTTTTCTTGCAACCATCTATGCTGCTTATGTCTGTCCCTGTCCCTGTCGTACAGATCCTAAGTAGAGGCTTATGTGTCCTCCCACTAAGCACTTACTCAATTGAAGGTGTCTCCGGCACGAATAAGGTGTCTATTTGGCAAGCATTTCAAAGGAAATCGTGTGACTTATGGCCGGTTTGTTCTAGCTTGCTTGATGGAAATTAATTAGTCTCTATTTGTAATTGCAATCTATGGGGCACTTTTATTGGTGAATCCATCATACGAATGTGTACAAATGTACGTGTAAAAGTCACGTATACAGCTATAACATCTATAAATAAGTCCGATTTAGTCTGTTGTCTAATGTAACTAGTGTAATAAATGGATTTCTTTGGGATTCCTTGAGAGCCATTGAATGAATACTCAGAACACATTTGTCTGAATATTTCTTATGCTTATGGCCAATAAAATATTTAAAATATATTTAAGGCAATAAAATATACATTTGTTTATTGCGCGTATATTAATCTCTTTTTTTGTATCACAATTAATAAAATCACTTCACAATCTTTTATTGAAATTGTTATGGTACATAAATGTTGTATTTAAACACCGAATGTATAAGCTTTCTGCAATTAATCAGCATACTGAAGAGCGTATTTTCTGTCAGAGCAATGTGAAATGTTATCTGATTAATTATCCGATATGCTTTTAATGGCTACCTTCATATTTACGAGTATTCCACTTCCGTTTTACATTTTATTTGCTATCATTTTGTATATAGTATTTATATGAGGCGGCGGCAACACACTGCGTATGCTTATTATTAATTTAAAACATATCCCATACGTCATGTGGTGCCAGAGGACAATGCAGGAAATGGGTAGAATTCGATTACTCGCACAAGTTGATTTATTATTAAAATTGCGTGTACAGCACAAGTATTGGCCACTACAGGAGATCGAAAGGCAAGGCACGTGCAACGTATTGGCTTACATAATGAATGGGCGATGGATGGGGATGGACAATGGGATGAAGAACTCTGGGTGAGACTCTCGTTTTGCTATTCAAATTAATTGAGAAACTCATAAAAAACTTTAGAGAGTTTTGGCTATCAGACCGCCAGCATCGCCAGCTGGAGCCAGCCCCAGTGCATCCACTCCATAGAAAAAAACCCACCCAAAAAGTTTTCAAATGCCGGCCCTGACTGTAACGAGGGGGTCTGGAGGGTGGTCTGAGAACGTGCAAGTGCCCAAAGAGCGGGCAAATGGGCCGCATACAGGATTTGCGGAGGGGGCTAAGGCCAATGGGGTAATTTATGTAGGCCCGCTAAGTCCTTTCATGCGTGAAATGTGATTATATCTGCGTATAAATACGCAGACAAGTGTGACCGTTCGTGTGTATGTGTGGGGGAGAGAGAAGATGAAGAGAAGAACGAGACAGTAGCAGCATGTGTGATAACCAGAGATGCGTAAGCTGCTCCAAAAATCATGGTGGTCTGGCAAACTCATCCGATAATGGTCCACTAAAAACCCAAAAGGTTACATCTATTTTGAAACATATTTTTTATAAATAAACTCTCGAAATAAACTCATAGAGCCACATAGAGCCCACTGATAACAGTTGCGAAAGCATTGCTGTTGATGTCTACCCAATTAAAACGAGAAACTCAATCATTTCAATCATTCAGAAACCAAAAACCACATCTCAAAATACATAACCCAACGGACAGCTCTCCAATCAAATCTAAACCAGCAACCGCAAAACCACTCCAGAATTTGCCGAAACCTAACCGAAATCTATATCAATAATCCGCCCAACCCCCTGTGCACAGAAGCCGCCTCCATCCCATTCAGAGCACGAGAGCACATGGCCATTCCCTGCTGATAACAGCAACAACAAATGCAAGCAGTGCTGCAGGTTGCGCTGCCCTCGTCTTATGCTGCTGCTGCTGTGCATTAAGCGCGTCATCACACACACACACACACGCACCCACACTCATGGACAAAGAAACAAAGCTGTGTGTGTGTATATGTGTCAGTGTTACAGTGCAGTGGGGCTTTGTTGTTGCGCCAAAAACCAAGCCAAGGATTTTTCGCACGTTTACGCCAGCAAAATGGACCGACAGACGGAAGAATGGACAGCGCTGCTGCGACTGCTATTGCTTTCTCTCTTTCTCTCCTACAGACGACCTTCACTTTAGCATACCAAGAGCAGGGGGATTAGGCGACGGACCATTACCGATTTTCTACCTTTGCAAAGAGTATTAAAATTTTAGACAGAATTTTGCCACACTAAGAATTAGAGATATCCTTGATCAGTGACAAGTGAATAGCCATGTCCATCAGTCCGTTTATCTTCTAATATATCGGTTGCTATGTTATCTCTCTGAAACTTTTCATAATGATAAGTAGATATTTACATAAAAATTTCTGATAGCCGGAATAAAGCACTTTACCATTTATGGATAAATACCTACCCATAGTTACGATCGTTTGATTAACATTTTTGATTACAACTTTATCAGTGGATCCACTATCTCAGCTAAATTAAAACACTATTTCATAGGATTGCCATAGGACTGATTTATGTGCAAGAGTATCAGAACGCTTTGCTAGGTACCCTGCCCATGCTTTCACTTCAATGTGGCTTTCTGGCTGTCTGGCTGGATGGAATGGATGAATATATTAATATCATAAGCGTGGGCGGAGTGGGTGGTAGACTCGTGCTGCAATGGAGGTCTTAAATAGGCCAGATATGCAGCTAAAACCGCTGCAACAACAACAACTTGTTGTTTTTACTGACTGCACGCCCAGCAGAACAATTAAAATATGTTTTTTTAAAAGCTTTTTTTTGTCACTCAACAAGGACATCATGGGCGGCATTTCAAATCAGTTTTACTCGTATATTCAGACATATGTGTGTATGTGTGAGTACTTTTTTGTTGTTGTATTTTTTATACACATTTTTTGGTTGTTTTTGTGTTTTTATGGGATTGTCGTGCGTTCGTTCGCCAGCAGCCAGCAACATTCGCGGATACACACATTTTCACAAATCAAAAAAGCAAACGAATATTGCCACACACACAGACACACACACTCCCACTCACTCACTCACACACTCCCACCCGCAAAAACACACAGACACACACAAACACGAAAGAGAGACGGCGAAGCAGGCAGGAAAAATCTCTCGCGAATGCCTATTTTTTATGGATTTTCTGGCCAGGCAATCTGCTTTTCCTGCTGTTTTTCTTGACGGATACAACAATTTGATTACTATTATTCATTTTTTAATACTTTTTTCGAGCAACTTCACGTTTGTTGATCCTCTCTCCCTCTCTCTCTACGCTCTTTCAAAGCAGTAGGAGCATGAGGCACACGCTTACATGAATGGTGGGAGGGCATACACACACACACACACGCATGCACAGGCACACCACTTCTGGGGCTTATTACATTTTACACTTGTCGCCTCTTACACTTGCTTCGTCGTTCCGTTAACCGCACCACATTCGCCTCCACACTATTTTAATAAACATTTCTTGTACATTTTTGATCTATTTTTCAGCTAGTAGCTTCTTTGGAAATTTGTTCCGAGCTTTCCTTTGGCTATTCTGTGGCTATTTTTTCTTTTTGGCTTTTCTATTGCCTGCACGCACGATTGCCACAAAACTTTGGGGCACAACTGCGTCCCGCTGTGGGCTCTGGGGGCGCTGCTCCGAGTTCAAATGCTCACGACAAACTGAAAGTGAAAAGCGACGGCGCCTCCGACAATGAGCATCCGAATCCGGGACACAAAACCTACGGCGGAGTCAGCTCTCACCGCGTCGGCGCTCTCGTCCGAGCAAGTGGTGGCCACCGAAACGAAACAGATGTTGCTCGGCTGCGGTTGCTCGCATGCAGCGTTTTCAATTGCATCTGGGAGCTGGAACACTGCACATGTACTCATAAAATATTTATTCCATTCATTTAATACAAATATCACTGAATATCAAGCATGAGATGGGGTTATACCAAGAAAAAGTCTAACTAAATCTTATTAATGGTGCAGGTCTATAAATATCTCCCAATTCAATTTCAATCTAAACAAACTTCACAAAGAAACACCAGAAATAATCAACAATCAATGCGAGTGGGGTTTCTATTTCTGTTTCCTATTTGGTGGCGACTGGGGCTGCTGCTGCAGCTCCCTCAGGCTGGAGCTCATTGAACTGCTTGTGCCATTCCAGATTCATCTTGGTCACGGACTCTCCTCGTTTTGCCGCCTGCTTTCCACTGTAGACCATAATACCGCAGCCGACAACTGTCAATAAAATCATGATGTTGGCCAGGCGGATGCGCATTTTGTTGCGAACACGTTCCATCTCATCCTGGCTGCAAGCAGTAGTAACAGTAACTAATATTTAACTACCTGTTAGTCGACACATACCTGACGAATGCTGGAACATCAGCCTGCGACTTGTATTTACCGCTCCATACCAAAAACCGTTTCTCCATATTGTTGGGCTGGTGGTTCTTAATCGCCTGTCTCAGTTGGTTCGTGGTGCCAAAGGAGCGGCGCACCAGGCTGCCAATTAGCGCGTATTTATTAAACATGTTTGGTTTTTATAGAAAAATTAATTTTTCTTTGTTATTTAATCGCTACAGCGAATTGGATGGTCACACGACGATGAATCCGCATTGAAGAGGTACTGAGTGTTGCCAATTTAGCCATTTTCCACATAGATCTAGCGTTTTTCAACTGCGGGATAAACTGTAAAATAGCGGGTAGCGAATATTATAGCTCTTTTACAAGGTATTTTTGCGTAATTTTAGCTTTTTCAAAACATCTTCCATCTTCAATCAAATCGCAAAAATAAGATCGATAAGTCAAAAGAACATTTAATTTAAACGAGTTTATACTATCACTGACAAAGTATTTGAGAAGAATCGATTTTTATACTATCACTGACGAAATATTTCCCATTTTAACTTTTCAGAAATTAGAATCACCCCATTAACAAGATGGTTTTAATTTTCTAGATTCTGCTGTTAAAATGCGTTTATTGAAGCTTCCATCAAAATTGTCCGTCTACTTCTAGCTTTTTTCAAAGGCTAGTTTGAAGAGTTTGCTGCACTTCAGTTTCAGGTTGGGGCTGTCAATATTTACATATTCGGTGTTTCTGTCGATATTTGTTGATGAGTCTTGCTATCGATGATTTCTGATGAGGGCGGACAATGTCCTTATAATTTAAACAATATGATGCTTAGTTTAAAGTGTGGTCGTGTGTAAGAGTTTAAGAAAATATATAGGTGAAATGGATTGATGTGCATGTGTAGGTGTAGGTGCAAGTGTGAGGAAACAGAAGGTTGCCTCAGAATGTAGAAACAACAGAAAGTTGCTCCTCAATGTGATTTCCGATGGCAGCGAGTTAACCCGACCTAGCCTCATTAATAAATTCAGCCAATTCTCATGTTTGGTTTTTGTCGAAAAATTATTATTTGAACAAACTTTATGCAATTTGACTAGTGTGATTTATTTATACCGCACTACCCTTTAATATACACCATATAATACCATATAATACACTTGTATCAGTGTGCTACCGCAGCAATCTTGGAGCTCTTATAGTCTCTGAGCCAGACTGCCAGACGGATAATGATGCTGATTAATACTACTAAAAACAGATTATATATTCTTTATGGCGTCGGAAACATTCCTTCTGTGCGTTACATGCATCCATACATTTATTTAGATCATCTGGTTAGTTACCGAACTTGAAATATCAAAAAATATCGCAACAACATATCAATATATTGATATTTTGGGAAACAAAAATCACGATATAAATATATTTTTAAAGAAAAAATATCGATATATTGATTTAATTTTGACAACCCTATTTCGCATGCGATGGTGTAAAAAAAATCTTAAAAGCCAAATAAATCAATTATTTCTGCGTGCCGCTTGCATTGGATATTGGATATAGGATAGCCGTGATCAAGGTCAACTGTAGGGTCCAATTGTCCAGCACAACAACACGAGCGAAATGAGTGAATACACAAGAATTCTGCAGCGCGAGTTCCCAGCGATAGACTCGGAATTGGTGTCCTACGTTATTGGTGTGCTGGCCGGCAGCGTGGAAGATTTTGAAACGTGCGATGACATCTTCGAGGCCGTGGGCGACATTCTGCAAAGTGTGGCCGGCGACCGGCCGGAGGAGAGTATACGGGACATATGCGAGGAGTTCTTCAACATAATGAAGAACAATACCACAAATGTGGAGCGCAAGGTGCTGAATGCCCCCGTAAACATAGAGGAGATGGCCAAGAACATGGAGCGCATGGACATGGATCTGCAGAGCATATGGGTGGTCAACAAGGATGGGGCCAATGTGAGTGTGCAGCTGACCAGAGTCGAAATCTTATTGTCATTTATCCATCTCCCTGAAGAAAGTGGACTCGAAGAAGCTGGAGAAGGCGGAGGCGAAGCTGCAGCAGAAGCAGGAGAAGCGGCAGGAAGTGAATAAGCATGGCATGATTCCCGTGGCAGTGAAACTGCAAACGGCCACCGCCTCCCAGGTGACCAACAAGAAGAACACCAAATTGGATCAGAAGGGTCTCAATCGTTCCATGGACATTAAAATTGAGAACTTTGATCTGGCCTTTGGTGAAAAGTGAGTCCAAAAACATACGCTTATCGTTCCTCCCATAAATCGTAATGTTTTTCCCCACAGAGTACTCCTGCAAAATGCGAATCTGCTGCTGTCCTTTGGGCGCCGCTATGGTCTGGTTGGACGCAATGGTCTGGGCAAGACCACAATGCTGCGGATGATTGCAGAGCGACAGTTGCAGATCCCCTCACACATCTCAGTGCTGCATGTGGAACAGGAGGTGGTGGGTGACGACACGACTGCCGTTGAGAGTGTGCTCGAGTGTGACACTGAAAGAACGAGGCTGCTGACAAGAGAAAAGGAAATTCTTGCTGCCCTAAACAATGGCGTGCAGGATGCGACGCTGTCCAATGAGCTGAGCGAGACGTATGCTGCCCTGCAGAACATCGAGGCAGACAAGGCGGTGGCCCGTGCATCTGTGATACTCAAGGGTCTTGGCTTCGACGCTGACATGCAGTTGCGGCCGACCAAATCGTTCTCCGGTGGCTGGCGCATGCGCTTGGCCCTCGCCCGTGCACTCTTCTCCAAGCCGGATCTTCTGTTGCTCGATGAGCCGACAAACATGTTGGACATCAAGGCCATCATCTGGCTGGAGAATTATCTGCAATCGTGGCCCACTACGATCTTGGTTGTATCTCACGACCGTAACTTCCTGGACGTAGTACCCACGGACATTGTACATCTACATTCCCAGGAACTGGAGGCATATAAGTGAGATATGCACATGCATATATGCCTGGAATCAGCTAACATATCTTCTCATTCTTAGGGGCAACTATGAGCAATTCGAAAAGACCAAAACGGAGAAGTTAAAGGCTCAGAGGCGCGAATACGAGGCTCAAATGGCTCACAGATCTCATGTTCAGGAGTTTATTGATCGTTTCCGTTACAATGCCAATCGTGCCTCATCTGTACAATCCAAAATCAAGATGCTGGAGAAGCTGTAAGTCTTGAAAATAACTCACCATCAATCCATTGGTAGTGACAATCGTTTTTCCCCTGCCACACAGGCCCGAACTCAAGCCCGTGGAGAAGGAAACGGTCGTCACACTCAAGTTCCCCGAAGTGGAGCCACTAAATCCGCCCGTTCTGGCCATCTCTGAGGTCTCCTTCCGCTACAATCCCGAAGATCCTTTGCCCATTTTCAAGGGTGTTAATCTGTCTGCCACCTCGGACTCGCGCATCTGCATTGTGGGCGAGAACGGAGCGGGTAAATCAACGCTGCTCAAGATCATTGTCGGCCAACTGAGCACCATTTACGGCAACATTGTCCTGCATCGTGGCCTGCGCATTGGCTACTTTGCCCAGCACCATGTGGATCATTTGAATATGAATGTGACGTGTGTGGGCGTCCTGGCTGAACTGTTTCCGGGTCGTCCCGATGAGGAGTATCGCCGTCAGCTGGGAAGCTTTGGTTTATCCGGACCCCTGGCACTGCAGAGCATTGCCAGCTTGTCTGGTGGACAAAAATCACGTGTGGCCTTAGCTAAGATGTGCATGGGTAAGTGGGCTCATTCAATCCCAACTCTATTTTAATCAAAACTAATGAGACTTGTTGCTTCAACAGCGGAACCCAATTTCTTGGTACTCGATGAGCCTACAAATCACTTGGACATTGAGACAATTGATGCTTTGGGCAAGGCCATCAATGCCTTCAAGGTAGATTTCATCAAACTATATTCAAATATATGAATCACATTAATTGTAATCATTTTAGGGCGGCGTCATCTTGGTTTCCCACGACGAGCGTCTCATCAAAGTCGTTTGCAAGGAGCTCTGGGTGTGCGGCAATCGCACGGTTCGCGCCATCGAAGGTGGCCTGGACGAATACAAGCGTGAGGTCTACAAGGAAATCGAAGCGAATAGTTGAATTGTTGTATTTTATTACCCAATGAATTTGTGAACTAAATTCTAGCACTAAATTTATAACAACATGTCCGCGACAAAGAAAACCCTTCGGAAATGGTTTAACAATGTTTCCAAAGATAAATCTTCATTGTTTCACTCTGGGTTTTCCTTAACATCGATTGATTGCGATCCAGGCTGATTCAGTTTCCGGCGAAGCTCAAAGAGCAACAGCGTCAGGGCGGATGCCACATTCAGGCTGTCAATGCCAGCTGCCAAGGGTATGTAAACGCATTTTCCCTTGCCACCAACCAGGTTCATGAAACTGCAAGAGTAAACAAGCCATACATTAGGAATCACGTAAACATCGGGAATGAGGAATCTCTTACTTGTAGGCCTCTTCGCTCACACCATGGCTTTCGCCGCCAATAATGAGCAAATTGTGGGATCCAATCTGCACAATGTCTGCATAATCGATGGCCTGGCGATTGGCCAGCTTCTGCTTATTGCTCTCCGCTATGAAAACATGACAATTATCAGCTGAATCGGCTGGGATGGTCATGGAGAGCTCTTCCCATGATACATCGTCGAGGATGGGCACGCGAAACTGACCGCCACAGCCGCCGCGCAGCGCCTTCGACTCCCAGGGATCGCAACAGCCGCGGGTGACCACCACTTGGCTGCAGGGCAGGGCGGCGCAGGTCCTAATAATGCTTCCAAGGTTGTTTGGCTCCCTGATGTTGTCACACACGACTGTAATGGGCAAGGGCTGGGTGCCCTGCTGCTGCTGCTCTGTCAAGTTCTTCTCCAATCCCTTCTCCGAGGGCCGATCGAAGACGGCCAACAGGCCAGGGGGCGTGACCAGCGAGGACCAAGTCTTTAGGTCATGTTGTGGCACTTTGTAGATCTTTGTGCCGGTCTCCAGCTGGGCCTGGGCCACTTCCTCTTTTAACAGGGCCAACTGATCTTTCTGGCTGAAGATGAGGCTGCTCATTTTGAGGCCACATTGCAGGGCCTCCTTTATGAGACGTCTGCCTTCGATGATGATCTGTCGGTTCTTGTCGCGACGCTTGCGCGACCGCACTGTGGTCAACAGCGTGCTCGTCAGCGGATCCTGCAGTGTGAGACGCACAAACTCCAGATTCAATTCGCT